AGGAGGAGGAAGACGACGGCGGCCATAGCCACTAGGAGGAGGAAGGAGGAGGAGGACGACGAGAGCGGCCATGGCCGCTAGGAGGAGGAAGATGACGGCGGCCATAGACACTGGGAGGAGGAAGATGAATGCAGCCATAGCCGCCCGTGTGTAGAAGATAGAAGATAGGAGATAGAAGACAGTGTGTGTGAGTGCAGACATTCAGGGTAGATCCGAGTGTTGTATGCATACGTCTGTGTGAGTGTGTCTGATGGTGGATACAGTGTTCTGGTGGGAATTTCAGAGTGGCGCTCAGATGCCACAGCTGCAAGATGTGACAAAGTGTCTTCAGCCGAGTTCCTGGCCGAAGGCCATATCCCTGAGTTTTCTGTGTGGGCGCACTGCGCCATCTCAAGCTTGTTGCTGATTCTGCTTTGAGTAAGATGTTTTGCCACCGGCATCTGCATGTATGCATGTTGGACGTGAAATCAAGACGACTCCGGATGCAAATTTGATGCACGATTAGGTCCAGCATGTTGGACGTGAAATCAAGACGACTCCGGCATGTTTTCTGTGTGGGCGCACTACGCCATCTCAAGCTTGTTGCTGATTCTGCTTTGAGTAAGTTGTTTTGCCACCGGCATCTGCATGTATGCATGTTGGGCGTGAAATCAAGACGTGAAATCAAGACGTGAAATCAAGACGACTCCGGATGCACATTTGATGCACAATTATTGGCTTTTGAAACCATATCTTTCAAGTAGTATGGCAGTTGCAGAATGTTTCATGTGCGGCATCACCAGAGGAAATGGTTACTTGTAGATGGAGAAAGGTGCAAGAAAAGCAGACAAACAAGAAAAGAACATCCAGTCAGTGTACCAGATTGACAGTGCACGTGCAACAGGGAGAGGCCATAATCATTCTGGTTAGGGGGTCTTTGCAATTAAGGGAATAGATCATGGGGATAAACAACACACAAGCGCGCGCACACACACATATACATACACACGCGCACGCACACAGAGAGAGAGAGAGAGAGAGAAAGAGAGAGAGAGAGAGAGAGAGAGAGAGAGAGGGGGGGGGGGGGGGGGGGGRGGGGGGAGAGGGGGGAGGACAACAGTGAAGATGACAATGATGAGGAGAATGGTGCGGAGGAGGAGGATATGACGGAGCAGGGCATGTAGGGCTCTGGAGGGTTGATTTGATGATGACGTGTGGACGAGCGTAACATCATTGTCGCACAGCTGGTGATCATGATGAGCTGGAGGAAGGGGTGATGATCACGCTAAGTTGACAGTGGCAATGGTCAGGTGGAGGGAAAGGCAAAGACGTGGAGAAAGGCGTCGCAGAAGAGAATGTGATGACGGCAAGATGGAAATGGTGATGATGGTGAGATGATGATCATGATGATCATTATCATACGGACGACTACATGGCCAAGGAGAGTTTAATGATGCTCGAATGCGGGTGACTATGACCACAATGACATGGAGGAGATGATGATCGCGACAACGCGGAGGGGATAATCATCGCGACAATGTGGAGAGAACAATCATGATGACGATGACGTGCAGGGGATGATCGCCAAGGAGAGTTTAGTGATGCTCGAATGGGGGTGACTATGACCACAATGACATGGAGGAGATGATGATCGCGACGACACGGAGGGGATAATCTTCGCGACAATGTGGAGAGAATAATCGCGATGACATCATCGTACTGACATGGAGAGAATAATCGCAATCGACATGGGGTGGAGGGGATGTGATGGTCGCGATGGGGACGATGTGAAAAGAGGACCTCGGTATAGGAGAACAGAACCATCCACTCGGTGCGCGAAGGTCAGCTCCTCTCTGCCTCCTTCCTGGGCTCTCTGCCTCCCTCCTTCATTCCCTCCCTCCCTCTGTTCATCTGCTCTTCTCTTGTTGACAAATACATCTTTCCGGTCCTTCGAATACCTGGCACGCTGCCCGATCTTTGTTCTCGACTCTACACGTCTTAACACTGGCAAGCGCTTCAACCTCAAGCTTCGGACCTCCTTGTCCGCCATCTCCAGATTTGATTCCCCTCCTACCAGTGGTCTTCTTTTGCACCATGTTGAATTCAATGCTCCTCCGTAGCGGGGCGAAAGCGAAGAGCGCTCCTTGTACATTTTCAGGAGAAACACATTAAAAGCAAAACAAGATGACCAGGAGGCTGTGTATGAACCCCTTATGCTAACGCCTGCGAGTAAGGACCAAACACCGGACGGAGGTTAATTACATCTGTGATCAAACCTTTGATCAGATCAGCTAGGATCCAATCTGATCACGATCTCACCAGATGTTGATCACATCTCATCCATTGATTAGATCTGATCTGCTCTGATCAACGGTTGATAATCACTGCTTGGATTCGACTCTGTCCTTGCTGAACTCCTCCGCGACATCTGTTAAAATTGAAACTACACAGAGAAGATTAGCATGGGCCATGTTCTGACAAAAAAAAAAACAAAAAAAAAAAACAAAAAAAAACTTGACCAACCAGTCGCTAACCCCTGTGAACTGTTGAAAAGCAAAACCTGAGTTCGACTGCAAAGAGAAACAAGACTTCACCATCGTTCGGCTGAGACTGAGTCAGTACTCGACCAGATTCAACTCACTCACTCACTGCTCTAACCAGACTTGACCACTGTTCAGATCAGACTCTGTCAGCAGTCAGACTTCTATCAACCATGGTTCGAGCCAGAGCCCGGACTCAGCGGAGTGAAATTGGACCTCAGATTTGACTCTTTTTAACAGAACAGACCCAGCGCACGGACTCAGCGGAGTGAAATTGGAGCTCAGATTTGACACTTAGATAAGGTTGACCCGTCGGTGAACCTGTGTACTATACTTATGCTCGTCCCCTTCTGACTCTGTGGACCCAAACAAGGAACTTTGCCTCATTGCCCACGCGCTGCAGACTTGGCCACCAGATCCAAAACCCTCGACCAAAGAATAACGATGAAGTCTCTGCAGACGTGGACGGCAGACACGTGTCCTATGGTCGAAGGGTAACGACGGAGTCTGAGATCCGAAAGATGTCAAGACCGCATTCGAATTTATGACAACAGGTACACGTCTTTGAAGAAAGGGAAAAAAAAAAAAACTTTCAATAAAGCGCAGGCAGGCAAACGCTGCAAACACTGCTACCGCTGCGCACGACTTCCAGACGTCGTTATTTTCAATGTGCACAGAACCTTGCCTAAATCTGCAGGGCAATGGGAAAGACAAACTACGACCGTGTTTTTTTTCTCCTAAAAAAAACAAAACAAAAAAAAAAAAACACGTCGTTATTTTCAATGTGCACAGAACCTTGCCTAAATCTGCAGGGCAATTGGGAAAGACAAACTACGACCGTGTTTTCCCTCCTAAAAAAAAAAAAAAAAAAAAAAACGAATTAGTTTGGGCCGGTCATTTCGATGACAACAACTCAAGACCGTCTCCTGTTTTTCCTCTTTCAAATTCCAATAACTTTTAATTACTCTGGCTCAGTCACTTCGATGACAGTAGCTCAAGGCTGCCCGCCTGTTCAAAAAAAGAAAAAAAAAGGTACCGGACGTGGGGTACCTACAGTATCTAACAGAAGTTACTTATGAGTGGGTTGAAGTTATGTAAGTGGGTTGTCACCGCAGTAACTGGCCAGAGGACTGAATCTGACCAACTGCTGCAGTAATAGAGCGGCAGAGTGCCAACGTCGCCGGTTCGAATCTGTGCTGGCACGGAGGAGTGTCTTTGGCCCAGACGTACGATCCATAACTACTGTGGAGGCTCGCGTGAACCTGCAGCCTACTGTGGAGGCTCGTGTGAACCTGCAGTCTACTGTGGAGGCTCGCGTGAACCTGCAGCCTACTGATGGTCCGAGTGTGTGAGCAGGCTAGGTACCAGTGGGGGTCACATGTGTGGTGCGTCCGTGTGGTGTTCTGTGTGGTGTGTGTAGAGTTGGACAGTACAGCCTTGCAAGGGTGGGGTGGATATCATGGCCAGTATGGCTCCCCACTTTTGAACACCGTGCCCTGGTGGTAGTGGTTACGATGCTCGGCTCTAGAGGCCAAGGTCGCCAGTTCGAATCCGTGCTTGCACTGAGGAGGGCCTTTGGCCCAGATGTACGGATCCATAACTACTACTGCTGCGCCGCGCCTACGGGTCCACGTGTACCTGTTAACCTCAATTTTTCCCTTTGTCCTGCCTTGCACCTTCTGTTCTGGTCATTGCTCTAGTTTCCCAGCATTTTCAGGATGTTATCTGTTCCCCCCGTGTGTTTCCGCCTATCACACGCATTGCTGTGTCTTTTCTTTTCCTTCATTCGCTCTCTGCAGTAGCCATCCTTCCCAGTTAGTCATCTTATCCCTCCCTCCCTCCCTCTCCTCCTCCCTCTTTCCGTCTACAACAATTCCGCCCCTCTCCTCTCCTCCTTTCAACCTTTCCTCCTCCCTCTCCGCCTCCTCTGCTCTCCCTCTCCTCTTTCTCCTTTCCTCTCCTCTCTCTCCTTTCCTCTCCTCTTCCTCTTCTGTTCGTTCTCCTGCTTTCCTCTTTTGTCCCTTCTTCTTAAGATCCTTCTCCACCTTTCCCCTTCTGTTACCTCTCCTCCTCCCCTCTCACCTCCTCCTCTCCTCTCCTCTCTCTTGTCCTCCTTCCCTCTTCTGTTCCTCCTCTTTTTCTTATTATTTTTTTTTTTTTTGGCAGAAATACTTTGTCGAGTACCAGAAGGACAAAGCGCCCATAAAGCTAGGCAAGCAGTCTGAGTCGGGTACGGCGAAAACCACTTTTTTGTCAAAATTGCTGCCCTGCATTTTCCTATCAAGGAAAGCATCTCTCTCTCTCTCTCTCTCTCTCTCTCTCTCTCTCTCTCTCTCTCTCTCTCTCTCTCTCTCTCTCTCTCTNTCTCTCTCTCTCTCTCTCTCTCTCTCTCTCTCTCTCTCTCTCTCTCTCTCTCTCTCTCTCTCTCTCTCTCTTTGTCTCTCTTTGTCTCTCTCTGTGCACACCCTTTCGTGCCAGTTTCCCTCCTCATATGCTTTGTTGTTTCTACTACCACATTCATAACACAACCTCTGACGATGGATCGTCAATAACATGTGGAGTCTCTATGGCACACACTCCTCAAGTCAGTGGCCTTTGGAGGCCGATATACACAGTCTCTATAACACGGTCATCTACAGCTTCCGTGAATACCTCTTCATCAAGCTTCTCCATCAACGGCCATATCTCTGCAGCATAAAGCCTTGCAATTGCAAACAGTTGCCCCAATGTGCTCTGCTGCCACTGCATTTCTTCTGAGATCAAATCTTCATCTTCAGCAACCTCCGCCGCGGCTTTCGATTGCGACTCTTCTTCCAGTTCTGCACCACCCTCCTTCTTCCCCCCACTACTCCCATTCTCCTCCGCTTCCATTCCATTCACCTCCTCCTCCGAATTTCGAGACGCCACTCCTGCTCTGTTGGGGGGGGGGTTCAATGGAACAATTCGCCCTTCATCCATTGCCCTGAGCCTTTCTGTCAACAGACTTGAGAATTTCCTGAAGACGGCAACAAAAAGTGCCTGCTGCTCAGCGAGCGCCCTGGTCAGCAAGGCTCTCTTGACTTCCACGGCCTCTACGGCCGCGTCCGCCTTTTCGTCGGCCCTTGCTACTACCTCCCGTGCCCTCTCGAGTTTCTCCTTTGCTTCCTTAGCTTCCCTTGCCCTAGTCGGATCAACGTCGGTCTCCGAGGAGGCCTGTGCCTGTGCCTGTGCCTCTGCCTGTGCCTGTGCCTCTGCCTCCGCCGCTGCTGCAGCCTCATTTGCTCTGGCAGATTCCAGCATGCTTGTTGCCTCGGCAGCTACCTTCGCCGCAGAGGCCATGTCTTTTCGAAGATCACTTGTCTTGTTTATCGTTTTGTTCATTGCGTTGTATAGCACCTCCCACACGTGATCCGACACATGCAGATGCAGCATGCAACGCTCTGAGAACACCCACTCCACTATCGCAAGGTTGGATACGATCCTGTACCCCATCATTCTATCAATCGTGATGGCTGTCATTTGCGCGGACAACTTCCAGAACTCCGCCACAATAGCGACCAGATCCTTTTGCATCTGCAAGTCGGGGGCACAATTGCTGAGAAGAGGCTGGTACCTCTCCAGATGCGTCATCGTGTGTGTGAAACTCTTTGAGCAAAGCAGGAGCATCACCTGAGCGACCACCTCCAAGGCTAACCGGGGCCCATGCTCAGGAACAACTCTCTCGTCTTTCCAGACAATGATTTCACGTGCTGATTTTTTGGCACGAATGAGCCCCACCATCTCGTTAGCTAATGCCAGTTCAACCGGGTCCACTGGCTTCGGTCCCTCTTGCTTCTTCTGCTGCTTCTCCAATTCGCCACCTTGCCCTTCTTTCCCTCCTCCTCTTCCGCCTCCTCCTCCTCCGTCTATCTCCGTCTTGTCCCCATCATGCTGCTGCTCAGAATTGTCCTCCATTGGCTGTGTTGATTCCCGCTCCTTGGCATCCTCTGCACCCTTGTATTTATAGTTAGGTTCAGGCTTAGGCGGCATCAAGTCGAGAAACCTCTCTGTCTTCCCTTGCTCAAGCAAACTCTCCCTGATCTTCTCCCAGTACCCGAGTCGCACTTCCCTTTCCAGGACCTCACGGCAGAAAACTCTCTTGGGAGCCCAAGGGGGCAGGTCCAACACATGACTCCATTCATCCCACGGCCAAATGAACTGGAAGTTGGACAGATGGTGTGCAAGCCACTGCACAAGCCTCATCCGGCACTCAACGTCCATTTGATCAATCTTCGTGAACAGAGCCCTCACCGCTCCAGCAACCACAGGAGGAAATGCACCTGGCAAAGCCTTGCACAGATCGACCATGACTATGGTATAGTAAATGAGTCGGAAAGGTGGCTTTGGCAACGACAGCATTTGCGAAAATACCACCTCTGCCATCAAGTACTCGTAGCGAAAAGGCACCGGCAGGCCAACCATGTAAGATGCGCACTCTTTTCGGCACCCATTCAAGAAGAAGAGGACGTCAAGAAGGTACTCTTCCACGATAAACGAGTCGATGGGCTGCATGGCCTCATCGGTCTTTGAACGAGGAAAGATGTGCAGCCGCATCATTCTTGGGGGGTAGACCTCCGACACGCTGTGCCTTTCTCTGCCGATTGTGAGCGCTGTGCTGTTGGCGGGCGCCTTGGGGACCTGGCGTGCCAAAAGATGCTCCGCAAAGGCATGCGATTGCCCCGTGGAGGACAGCCGGTCTGCAAATGCCACGTGGGGCGCAGGCACACTGGCAACCTTCCAGTCGTTCAATTGCATCGTCTGCACCCGCCACCATAGATCCTCCAGGTAATCCTTCTCCTCCATTGGGTCGTCGGACTCCAGAGACTCGTCAAACACACGCAGTGCTGATTCGTTGATGCGCACCCTGTACTCCATGTAAGATTGGATTGTGTCCATCACCCGCTGAAGGTCATCTGGGACGCGCTGGGCAAGTTCGGCAGCTCCCCAAGGCAAAGCCGCTAGCACACAATAGATGTAGAAATCTGCACGCGGCTGCCATGCTTGATTACCCTCGTTCTCATCCAGGGTCCTTGCAGCAGATGCAAACAGGACATCAAACACCTCGACGACCGTAGCAGCAGGAACCACGAAGTTGTTCATCAGCACGACGAGAAAGCGAAGAAGAAGGCGTAACTTGTTCTGCTGCCCATCGTCCAGAGCAGACTGAAGTCCCATAAACGTCCTCTCGACTATCCTTGAAACGAACTCCTGATTGGTATCGTCGACATTAAGAAGACCGATCAAAGTACCATAGAATGGAGATTTTTGGGGAAGCTCCAGGGAGCATTCCATCAGCGTCTGCAAAATTTCATCACCCGCTCTGGGGATATCGCTCCTCAAGAAAGACGAGAGTTCTTCGAGTTGATCTTCCACCTCCATTTCAGCAGGTTGGCCGTCAACAAATTTATCACCGAGGCGTATCAGGTAGAGTCTCCACCGTGGGCAGCCGAAAGCGCCGGCACCGTCATCACTTCGCATGCGCTTGCCATCTTCAGGCCCTTGCCGTCGAGCAAACCCTCCTCCTCCTCCTCCTCCTCCTCCGCCTCCTCCTCCTCCACCCTCGCGCTCGTTGCGCCGCCGGCTTCCGCGATAATCGCGATAAGAGGAATCGCCGCCGCGCTCCGGCCTATCTCCGCTGCCGCCGCGATATCCACGGTCTCGTCTGTCTTCCCGCTCGAAGCGATCCCGTCTATCTTCGCGTTCCCCCCTGTCACCCCTGTCGGCGCGGTCCGCGCGGCCCTCTCTTTCCGACCGATCGCCGCGATCCCCTCCTCGATAATCACCTCCTCTATCTCCTCTCTCCCGCTCGTAGCGATAACTACCGCGGTCGCTGCGATCGCCACGCTCCCGCCGATCGCCGCGCTCACCCCGCTCACCTCGATCGGCCCGTTCCCCGCGGTCGCTGCTGCGCTCCCCCCTGTCCCCGCGGCGGTTTCTGTCAAACCGATCCGACCTATCCGCGCGCTCGCTCCTTTCCGACCTGTCATCCCCATCGTCCTCCATGTTCACCGCCCTTTCCACCTTTGTCTCCTCTGTGCCATCCATGGTCAATGCCATGGCCATCTTCTCGCCGCGATTGACATCTTCTTCCATCCCTTGCCGCTCGTCTGCCTCAATCTCCATCGCCGCCGCTGCGGATGCTGTCGTGTCCGGACCAGCAGCCTCCGTCGCTCCGGAAGCGGACACATCCGCCGCCATATCCAGCGTTACGTCTGTCGGGTCTGTCGGCGGCGCATCCATTTCCGCTCCTCTTCCTTCTCCTCCTTTCCTCCCACTCCTCCTCTCCTTCTCTCCTCTCTCTCTCTCTCTCTCTCTCTCTCTCTCTCTCTCTCTCTCTCTCTCTCTCTNGCACACGCACAGACACAGAGGGAAGACCAACCAGATTAAACAACCTACCGATAACCTGCCGGCCGCGTGACTAAGTTGCCTGCTGGCTGGTGCCTCTGGGCCTAAGGGCGAGCGCGCCAAGCTAGCCGGCCGCCGGGGTTCGGTCCGGGCTACGCTTGACTATCTTCAAGTTCGTGGCTGTGAGGTCGAAGACAGGCCCACGTGGCGGGCGCCATAGCTACCAGCAGTAAGGTATTAGGGGTGAGTAGGCGAAGTAGGTCATGGCCCGCCATGGTGGGGCAGCAGCCCTTGCGCTTTCTCGCCGGAGAGTAGGAAATCGTGACGCGTGACAACCAAAGGAGTAGAAAGAACGCAGAGTACGATGAGGAAGGAGGGAGATAACCACGATGGGGGCACTGATCAGACAGCAGCGCCACAGGAGTGCAGGGCGTAAAGAACGAGGCGGAGTGGACGGGCGAAGAGAGGTGAGGGGCGGAGAGCGGCGGAAGAGGGACGGAGGGAGGCGGAGAGGGTTGAGGGGCGGAGAGGGACGGAGAGGGGTGAGGAGCCCAGGGCAACTGAGCGGAGAGTAAGAGACAACAGCAGCACGGGATCACGGAGGAAACAAAGTGCATTCGCAGCTCCCCTGTGCTTCTACGTAAAAGCGAGTAGTTCTTTCCGACCAGCCCAAGAAACTACATACCCCCCCCGTCCCTACCCCCCTCCCTACCCCAACCCTATTCTCCCACAGAAGCACCCGCGAGTCGACCGAAGCAAGAACCCTCCTCTACTGTTCAACAATCCTGTTGGCCGCCATTAGTGATTGCAGTCCTGTTCGACGGTCCTTGTTGCTGGAAAGCATGCACAAAGCACGCTGGAAAAAATGCACCAAGCAGGAATGGCTAAGGGCATACCCACACGAGCACGAATGTGTCCGACTGCAATTAGGGCAATACCTGGATGCATCTGACTGCACTCAGGAGGCGATCTCAGCAAGAAAAAGTCCTTATTGTGAGTTTGCCCTAAGTGGCCCCCACAGAGGACAACCTTCTGGAATACTAATGAACTCTCGGATCGGATGTTGTAGTTTTGTCCGATTGGGGGCTGCTACGGCCGCGAGGAAAAGCGCATGCGCAACGCGGAGCGCTACGGTAGCTGTAGTCCCCTTCCTTCGTTGATCGGTGGTGCTGGAAAAAGCATGCACGAAGGAGAGGAGAATGACACCAGATTGTCGCTACACAGGATACCGCTCTGAAATGATGTACATTAATAAACACAGGGCTCGGATTTTGTCGGATCGGGCGCTGCTACGCCGGCGGGCGAGGAAAATTGCATGCACCAATGCCGCGCGGTCGACGAGCCCACCACAAGTGTCCAGACATTAATTACTGTAAGTAAGGGTCTTCGTTCCGTCGTCGGTCAGGGGTTGCTTTCCCGCTCGCAAGTCAGCCTTGTATGTATGAACGTATGAACAACACGTCAACGTGGACGTGGAAGAGACGGCCACGTCATACCAACACCTGAGCGCGCCCACAAATCGTGACGAACAAATTGATTACACAGGAGAGAGCAATATAATAAAGACCACCGAAAATGTTGCCCTGGGGTGCAATGAAGCTGGTAGTTCAGTTCCTCCGCCGATCCAAGTGTAGTCAGTAGCTGCACCTCCTCCCATCCACCAACCTTAGCTTGTATAGCCAGTGAGAAAAGTTAAGTGTCACACGAGGGGGATGTATAGCCAGTGAAAGTGTCACACGAGGGGGATGTATAGCCAGTGAAAGTGTCACACGAGGGGGATGTATAGCCAGTGAGAAAAGTTTAAGTGTCACACGAGGGGGATCTGTCTGTGTAATAAGTGGTCGCACCTTCTCCCATCCACCAACCTCAGCTTGGATAGCCAGAGGGGGGTCTGACTGATGGTGGCGAGAACAGGAACGACTGACTACTCAGGCTGGTCCATCCGGTCGAACACCACCCTGCAGCAGTCCGTTTATATGCAAACACAAAAAAAACATATACCAGGGCTCGAAGAGCGAGAGGCAGGCCGGACTAGAAAGCATGACAACTCTGTAACTCTATAACCAGGCTGGAATAGAAAGCATGACACCCTCGGCCGGAATAGAAAGCATCACACCGTCTATGCGCTGTAGCGAAGGTCCGTGGGAATGGAATCACAACGAAGGACTCCGTGGGAACGGTCTACCGGTAGCAGGCAAGGCAAATGAGAACTGCAACTGGTTAAGTATACGTTATTTCCCAGGTTATGAGTTAAGCCACCAGTAGAAGACATGCCGCTATCAGTAGCTGGCGGGAGAACAGCGCACGCACAACATGAGGGATGAAATTCGCTTTGAATGCATCACGGAAAACGTTAGAGGGGGGAGGGGGGGGGACCCGAGCGCTTCCGCCGGCGATTTTGCGCTCGAACCGAGTGCTGTTTCGGCCGGCCTGTCCAGCAGCTCCCTCCACGACCAAGGAGGCGGTATGGTAGGTGATGTCACTTACCACGGGAACATGGCGGCGCCTACCCGTAGGGTTTCTGCCATACAGTGAAGCCCTCGCGTGGGCAGTAGGAATCCCCTGGGCCCTGGACCCACAAGCGAGTGGAGTAGCTAAAGAAGGTCGTCGGGGCAGTAGGAATCCCCTAGGCCCTGGACCCACAAGCGAGTGGAGTAGCTAAAGAAGGTCGTATGTGATGCACAAGAATCGTGGTTATTGTGAGATCTGACGGACGTACTTTAACAAAACAATAAAGGCCAAAAAAGAAAAAACTACTGTGGCACTAATCTTCCCTCCTGTCCTTCGGGACACACTGAAAATCGTAACGCTACAGAGAAGATTAGCATGGCCTCTGCGCAAGGATGACACGCATAAATGAAAATCTTCCCTCCTCTGAGTTTCGCATCAACTTCCCTCCATTTGCCGAAGTCCTTTCGGACCACTCCCTCCCTTCCTCTGCTCTCGCTTTTCCTTTCTTTATCCAGTCAGCTTTGATTTCATTAGTCAGGGTCTGTTTGAACGGGATTTCTACCTTCTGATTTGGCATTTCCTCGTTCTGAAACCTTCTCCCGTGGTTTCAATTGAAGATGGGATAATTTGAGAAATACCCCTAGGAGTTAAGATATGTGCCAAAATGCCCCTAAAAGATGTAGGTAGAGAGGAATACCCCTCTGACACAAAAAATGTATTGTAAATGCCCCTGGCATCAGTTGGACCCGCCATATTTGCAAATACCCCTACTGGGTACTGTCCATCTTTGCAAAATGTCCCGGTACTTGGCAACTTTTTCCAGGCCCTATTGTTTTTGTTTTACCGCTACTCGCCCAGGTCATCTTTGCGTTTTGCCCCCTGGCCGTTGCCTTCAAGAAAAACACAGGCTGAAAAGAAGGCAGGGCCATTATGGCCGTAAGTTTTTGGGGCAGCTTTCTATCTAGATACACATATAATGAACGTGCGCTCTATTCGGGGGGAAGGTGTTGTCGTTTTACCAGTGGCAGTGTGTGTGTGTGTGTGTGTGTGTGTGTGTGAGAGAGAGAGAGAGAGAGAGAGAGAGAGAGACTTCGAAGGAGTGCTGGGAAAGAGGATGTCGGAGATGGTAAACGAGGAGAACTTGGAAGGAATCGCGGGGGAGGAAGTGGAGATGGGCAAACTCACCAAGCTGCCGAACACCGCGTAACACTTCGGACGACTTCGAAAGTTTGAATCACTAAGGTAAACTGCCGCGTCTATGGGCCTGGGTAGTACGCAAAGTTGCCCACCCGGTATGGAGGGTAAACCGGGTAAAACAGGGTGCAGGTCGAAGCCCCAATGATTCGGTCCAGATTGCAGATTTGCACAAGGGCCCGACAAGGGCAAAACACAAAGCACTAGGTCCAAAAGGGCTACCCATATCTTTTAGGGGCATTTTCACATGTATCTCAACTTATAGGGGTATATTGCAAATTATCCAATTGTAATGACCCGCCAAAAACACAGACTGAGAACACTGCTGATTTCTGGGATTTGCTGCTGGAATGAATGCCTTGCTGAAATTCCCGCATTCTGTTGTGATTTCCATGTGTGTGTGTGCGTGCGTGCCTGCTGGTTTGCATGCATGTCTGAGTGCTTGTCGGTTGAGTGTGTGTGTGACCCGCAAGGGTACTTGTTGGTTGAAAGGCCCCGCAGGGCCGGTACTTACCTGTGGCCATGACTGTGAAGGGTTGCAGGGGGGAAAACACTCGAGTAGCGGGGGTAGGCCCGCAACACTTAGAGCAGAGGGGAAAAACACTCAAGTAGCAGGTAGGCCGGTACCACTGAAGTAGTGGTAGAAGTGTTGGGTACTGGAGGCCGAGCAGAAGAAGACAAAAAGTTGGCATTTTTAGAGGCCAGTAGCGGTAGGCTAGAGGTAGGCCGGTACCAGTCCAAGTAGCCCGGGTCTAGGGCCTGTCCGGAGGTTAGCAGAGCCTGCAATGATGTTTCCCTCCGAAAATGAGGAGGTACCGGTTGCTGGGAGGCCGCTCGGCCTAGGAAGTCACCGCCCAAGAGGCCAGTAGGCCGCTATATCTTTCAGAGGAGCAAGTAGCTCCTCCTCATTTGCGGTGTGCAAGGATTGGCAACATGCTGCTGGAGCACAGCGCTAACTGCTACAGCGTTGCTTGGAGGTGAAGGGCAGCTGGAGCTCAGCCTGGCTATGGCGAGCAGTCCAGCTTGAGGAGGAGGAAGAAGGGGGCGAAGGAGGAAAGTGGCGAGGCACTTACCTGGCTATGGTAGACACCATCTTCATCACCTTGTTGGGCGCTGCATCTGGAAGGCCCCAGTTGGGGTGGTGCTGCACCAAGGAAGCTCGAGGCAGAGTTAGGCATGGTGGACCAGTCAGCAGAGGCATAGCTGTTTTGGGTTGTCCTTTGGACATCAGCGCAGCACCATAACTGCTTTGGGTTGTCCTTTGGACATCAGGGCAGGCCCCTCATTAGTCCGTCATAGGCTATGCATGAGAGAGGAGGCTGAAGAAGGGAAACCATAACTATGGTGGACTTGTTGTTGTTGTTGTGTTGTTGTTGACTCAGCAATAAGA